GTTCATTTCATGTTCATATCTTCAATTCTCTAATTTTGGTGAATATTTTTGTCATTTTTGGTAAAAAGTGATATTTTCGACTTCTTGTTAAAAACTGTAAGTCCGATTGCTTTGATACTATACATATTGTTCATTTTCTGATGATGTCTTCAGTTCTTTAATTGAAATGTGCATTTCTAACAGCGGAGCTATCTTAGCCGATTGGCTGCTTGTTTTGATTCAATATAACAAACTGGCAGAATTTGTTTTTAAATGTTTTAAAATGCATGTTTTGTGACATGCTTAGGCAAATTTGTTTAAAGATTTGGTATGATGGTTGAGCATGTACATTGTAGGGTTACTGATACACATCATGTTTCTTTTTTGCACTCTTTGATTCAAAATGGCCAACTGGTTGCGATTTTCTTTCATGTTTTTGAAGAAACTCGCTTTTGTACAAAACATTCTGGACTCGCTTAGAGGAACACTTCAACCATTGTACTTGAATGTATATCATAGCTTACATATGCACATGCATTTAGTTTGGGCATTTCAAAAGTCTTGAACCATAATGTCATATTCTTGAACTCACTGAAGGTCTGAAATGTTAACTGGGACTGCGCCAAATAATTATTGGAGAGATGATTGTTCTTGTAACAGTATATACATGTAATCGTAAAAATAAATAAATCAGAGCTACTGTAAAATACTTTATTTTCGCTGAAGTAATGATTCAATGAAAATAAAAAAAATGTACTATTTTTTCTATATTTTACATTCAACTCAACAAAAATCAGTGAAAATAAATTCCATACTGTTTCTCCTAGGGATGTCACCATTCTCCATCATAGTATGTAACAGTATAACAGAGCATAAATTTCAGTGTTGAGTGGGTACCAATTTCGAATCTCAAATTAATAAAATGGCCTTAGCACATAGAAATAACATGGGGACTATCGAAAGGCAGATTCATTTGGGGGCAAAGAGAATTTCTTTGTCTCCATGAAGTTGAAGCCTGTACAAAATGCGAGACTCTCGCATTCCAAAGTAATGTGTAAGATATACACTTGTACACTATTGAACTGCAAATACATGTATAGAATACGTAGTAGGAATAAATACTAATCTACACTAATGTACTGTATAGGATTATTTCCTTCTGTATTAATCTTTATAGACTACTTTCGGGTTTGCCCTCGGTTAATACACTACATGTACATGTCCCTATAGAGCTCACTTATTCATTCAATAAATAAATTTAGTTCTTTCATTCTGGTAATGTTTCAGTTATACCTCTCATTTCTGTTCACAGTGCATAT